TCTGTTTTTTGGCACATAGGCCATGGGAACATATGGCTAAGACTCTGTGTAAACATATTGGATAGCTGCAGATGATTGGTGTTACCTGATGGAAGAAAGCTTGATACACAGAAATGTAGGGAATGGTTGTACCTGTTGCAAGATAAGCACTTCTTTGTGTTAATCTGTGTAAATTAGAACCAAACTTGTATCTCTTCATGGTTTTCTGCTTCTCCCCTTTCCCAGTTACATGCATTTCCACTGCTCAAGTCCTCGTGCCCCTGGGATATTTTCCAGTTCTTTTGCATAAGTGCAATAACAGGACCATTTGGTTTCTCCTTTCCCTTTGCACTTCCTCTCAGAGGCTTGGCATTTCTCTGCAGTTTCCCATCCGCATTGATCAGCATCTGGTATTCCTGCCCATACTTCTTTCTCCTTTTCTCTCCCTTCCTGCTCAAACTCAGCCTGGGAAGTCCTGCCCTCTTTCCCACTCTCTTTCCCCCACAACTCTTTCTATTTTCTCAACAGCTCTGCTAATACACTCCAGTTTTGATGGAAAGATTGGTCTTGAGAGAGATGCCACTGATGGACCCTTGTCTCTGTAGTGGATTGAAAAAAATCTAGCTAACCTAACACTCTCACGTTTACATGCATACATATTGGGGCACCAAACTGTGAAAGTTTGGTTATTTTTGATCCTGATTCTATCTTAGCATGAAAAATTTGTTTAAATAAAATATTTGGAGTTGCCTTAAAAACTTCTTGGATGGAGAGTATAACTGGACATAAGTCATGCCTTAAAATTGAATTGCCATTTTATTTTAAAAACATTCAAAGTAAAATTTGAAATATACTTTTACGCTCATGTTCACTTGCCCCCCTCTGCTTCTGTCTCATATGCACAAAGTCCTGTTATTCAAACTCAATATTGGGCTCAGAATAAGAGAGAGAATAGTAACGTTGAAATACTTTCTTTTAGCTTTAAGACAACACCAGATTTTTTTCCTTGGTCTTTCTAATTTTCAAGTCAAATCCAGATATTCCTCCAAAAATGAACAGATGCTCTCAGAAATTGTGAGTTCAGATAAAATCTTTTCTTCTCTTTCCTTTTCCTAGTCAGCCTGTTGCTTACAAGCAGAAAGTAATTCTTCAAAGGAAAAAACCAACTCCTCCACCACACACCTTTTTAGTTGGATGCTCCATGCACTAATCTGAAAACAACATTTACTATGTGAGGATTTCTTCCTTCTCTGTTGAATTCACTAGAGTCATGGAAATATGGAATGGTTTGGGCTGGAAGGGGGCCTTAAAGACCATCCAGTTCCAACCCCCCTGCCATGGGCAGGGACACCTTCCACTAGACCAGGTTGCTCAAAGCCTCATCCAGCCTGGCCTTGAACACTTCCAGGGATGGGGCATCCACAGCTTCTCTGGGCAACCTGTTCCAGTGCCTCACCACTCTCTCTGTGAAGAATTTCTTCGTGATATCCAATCTAAACCTCCCCACTTTCAGTTTAAACCCATTCCCCCTTGTCCTGTCACTACAGGCCCTTGTAAAAAGCCCCCCCCAGCTTCCTTGTAGCCCCTTCAGGCACTGGAAGGTGCTATAAGGTCTCCCCGGAGCCTTCTCTTCTCCAGGCTGAACAAGCCCAATTCTCTCAGCCTGTCCCCATAGCAGAGGGGCTCCAGCCCTCTGAGCATCTTCGTGGCACTATCACAGCAAATCCTGCAAACTACTATGGTGAATAAAAACTGATTTATGGCGAGTAAAAAAAAATGCCTTTTTTCACTAGAAACACTCTGTAGCACTACTGATACAGGGAATAATTCAGCATTTAGAATTAATGTCAATGGGTTCTACTCACTCATGAAATCCTGACATTACTAGGAAGAGAGGAGGATGCCTCTTAGGTGAATGCAGAAGAGCATGAGGAGGCAGCTGGGACTGTGTGGGATTAAACTTGGCAATAGATAGGTTGTTTTGTTTTTCCAGTTGGCTCAAGTTGCGATGCATGAAGAGTTGCCTTTTGGATATGATACTGGGAGAAGAGGAGGTGAGCTGGCTGGTAGACAGAGGAGTAGGAGGACTGGTAGTGGTGAGGGTCAGGTGCTGTTGAATGGGAAGTTGCCCTTCCCTTCCCTTATTTAGATCTGTTGGAAGTGACTGCAGTGTTTCATTGAAAGTAAGTAAACTATACTGCCTTATTTGGGTGGAGTTTTGTGTAGTAACAGCTGAGAATTATCACATCTTGCTGCAATTGCTGTGGAAAGCCTCTCCTTTGCAGAACCGTGTTCTGATCTGGTGAATGAGTGTTGTACAGCTGAGCTCTGTCATGGCACATAACCGAGGTGTGCATCCAGGTTACCAGTTTGGTTCGGGTCAGGTTTGCTTTCCTTGTTACCAATGAGCATTTGTCTATGAGACCGAACTGGAGCTGGTTTGAAACAAACCCACTCAAAATGCATATTTGAATTTTGGCTGCATGCACAAACCTTTTCACCCTATAGATCCACGTAAATTGTGCCACATTATTTGCAAACATTGAGACAGCCTGAGTGACCAAGTGTACACCTCGTTGACTCAACAGCTGCCTGCCAGGCTGTCCTGATTTTGGCTGGGATAGAGTTAGTTTTCTTCCTAGTAGCTGGTATGGGGCTGTGTTTTGGATTTAGGATGAGAATAAAACACACTGATGTTTTAGTTGTGCTGAGCAATGCTTACACTAAGTCAAGGACTTTTCAGCTTCTCATACTGCTCTGCCAGCGAGTGGGCTGGGAGTGCACAAGAAGCTGTGGGTGGACACAGCCAGGACAGCTGACCCCAGCTGACCAAAGGGATATCCCATACCATATGGCGTCATGCTCAGCAAATAAACTAGGGGAAAGCTGGCTGGAGGCAGCTGCTTGGAGACAGGCTGGGTGTCAGTCGTTTGGTGGTGAGCAATGTTTCTCATCTGGGTCACCTGTCTTTCTTGGGGTTTATTTCTCTCTCTTTTTGTTATTTTCCTTTTCATTACATTTTAAAATTATTATTGCTATGATTATTATTACTGTCGCAATATTTTATTTCAATTATAATATTTATTTTAATTATTAAACTGTTCTTATCTCAATTCAGGAGTTTTTTCACTTCTATTTTTCGGATTCTATCCCCCATCCTTCTGGGTGGGAGTCAGTGAGTGGCTGGGGAGATGC